AGAGAGAGAGAGAGAGAGAGAGACGCACGATTCGTAGTACTATTCATCCCTTGTATTACAAAAGTATTAACGGCTTATATTTATATTATTTAGATAGTAAATACAAAAGTGTTTTTTAATTTTGACCATTGTTGACCTGAATAAAGACCAACTTTGGTCGCTATTTATTCAAGAATTTAGTTTAGCGACCAAAGTTGGTCGCTATATTTAAATCAGATTTAATTATATTTCATATAATATTTAAATTAATAATATAATTATTAAAATTGTATAAATGGGCCCCATTTAAGCGACCAAAGTTGGTCGGTATCTGCCTACCCTTTAAGTAGCGACCAACGTTGGTCGCCATTTTTATATTATATATATTTATATTTTATAATTTTTTTAAAATAATAATATAATTATTAAAATTTTGTATGTGGGTCCCACTTTAGCGACCAACATTGGTCACTAATCTCAGAAAATGTTTGACCAAGAAAGTCTGACCAGTCCAATCAACATTTTGACTAATATAGCAACCAAGTAGCGACCAACCTTGGTCGCTATTTTGTTTCTTTTATTTATTTTATTATTTTCGCTAGTTTAGTGACCAACTTTGGTCGCTTTTTCCCACAGACCAATTTTGGTCGCTAAATTTTGGTTGTTTTTTTCCGGATTTCTAGTAGTGTGTGACATTGAATCCAGGCTCGGATCTAAGCTTAACAGTTGTTCTGCCCTTGGTTCAGAGCCAAATGTATATGAAGATCTATGATTAAAATAAGAATCGTTCAATAACTAGAAAGTAGAAAAATTAGTTGCATTGCCTTGATATGTGTGTTACATGTCTGTATTAAATAAAAACTACCCTCATTTATATAGTAGGAAGGTTTTACTCCTAGTACAATTCTAAGAAAGGTAAAAAATCTTTTTTTTCGTTAATCACTAATCCGCCGTCGATACGGGCCGAGATCTGCGCCGTGATATCCGATAGGGTGCAAATATCGCGGCCCTCTGTTAGTCGTGTGCAGCCGTTGTCGTGTTTTTCGAGGTCTCGAAGCTCGTTTCGGGGTTGGAGAAGTACTGTCTTATCAAGCTCGGTGGCGATCACTTCGTTCGGACCTTAATACGAGGCGTTTCGGCTTCGATTCCAACCCCATATAATCATGCCTTTGCTTCGTTTGACCCACTGAAATTGGGGTGTAGGTTACCCCAGTTTTACTCGTATACAATGTTATGATGCAATTACCAGTGGGAGTACTCCAAGCTTATAATTTGATGAGCTCCTTGTCTTATAGTTGATTCGAGAATCTTAAAATCATTCAAAAAATAATGCCAACACTTGCTTGTACTAACTACATTTCTGCCACTTGCTGCATTTTTCTCGGCCTTTCTGTTCATCTAATAAAACCTACACATTCATAATTACAATGAAATAGGAGAAAGAGAAGAGAAAATAGTAAAATATTAAGGTGAAGAATAAAGTCATTATAATTATGCAGATACCTATATAAAGTTAAATTTTAGGGCTTCTGGCCTCACTCTCACTAATAAAGTTTGCGGATGGAAATGATTCATCAATTAAAAAGTTATATCTTGGTATTCACGAAATGAGTATTGCCAAATTTGTCGTGCTTGATACGAAGTGATTGAATGTTGCTTGTAGGTTTGCCCGACGGAAAGCTTAGCTCCTTCATAGGCAATGAAAAATAACGTTCAACACGAATTTGTCAAACTTGAAAGGAAATTGAATGCAAAAGTAATCTTGGAGGCCATGAGTTCTGTGCGGTAAACTTCGTGACTTTTCTTTGATTTGTGGGGCGGGCAGTATAAGGGCTCTCCAAGTAAAAACTTTTCTTGAATAACACTATTAAAAGAGATTGTGTGACAACTTGGATTTCTTTTCCTAAAGTTCAAAATTATATTTTTTTTGTTGAAAATGTAGTGATTTTCACATGTATATTTATACCCGTGCCGAAAACAAGATCATCCGAAGTGAGATTTGAACCGTTAATTTCACTTATAGAGGTGCATCCAATAATTATTGCACCATAAGATTCTTTAAGTATGGTTGCACACACATATATTTAAGTAATTTTAAAAAAATATAACATTATTATACATGGTTTAAGGAGTGGAGCATGAATTCATGACGTGAACCCATACCCTTTAACCTAGATACACCCTGCACGTACATGAATGTGCCTGGAACCTATAAGAAAGTACATGAAAATGATGGCACGAAATGGTGAAAATTATATATTCTATGGTTTGCCCATTCCATGAAATATTTAGTGTTTCTAGCTAGAGAATACACCAGTAACCCTGTTAGAACATTTGATGGGAAAGAAGGAAAAGAGAAGAGAATCCACAAATAGAATAAATATGAAATCTCATGGGATATTCGAATGAAGAGCCTTCACAAAATCTAATTGAATTAATGAATATTTCAAGTGGGTGGCTGGAAAATATTTTTGTTTTAAACCATTATGACGATTATAAAGACTTCAAATGTTTAACCAATATATTGTCGTTCGACTAACATTCAACTGTAATGTTCTTAGATACTGTAACGTCCAAAGGAAAGAATCCATTGCTCTCTTTAGCTCAAAACCAAAGTAAAGTATATATTATGGCAGAGTCTTATAGTGCCAATTTAAGAAGTCACTAAATTCAGATATCTAATAGATTATACTATCCAAGGAATAAATAGAAAAACAGTAAGTTCATTTCCTATCACGTCGTAATAGTAATGTATTTAATAAATAAAGAACAGTACAAAAAACCCCTCTAGATGCAGTTTACAACCTGTTCTACTCAGATATGATATGATATGTATTGGAGTAGACAGATAGAAGTACTCTTGCGTAGTTGCTATGCTGATTCATTCAAACCTGCATTAAGGTTACATATTACTCATCATTTAATCAAATGAAAAAATATGACCCACCTTATTAAAAAAATTAAAAAATTACTAAACCCAAAAAACAAAAAGAAAAGAGATCTGTGTTAAAAGGCAATTACCATTGAAACCCAAAGCTAATTTGATGAGTGCCTTGTCTTGTAGTTGAGGCAAGAATCTTAAAATCTTTCAATAAACAGCGCCAACACATGTAAGTACTACATTTATAACGCTTATGACATTTCTTTTTAATCCATTCAACAAAATCTACAAATTCATAACATAAGTACAATGTGGAAAGAGATATAGATATAAGAAAATATTGAGGTGAATAAGTTGTAACTTTGCAAAGTACCTGTATAAAGTTATTCTTCGAGGCATCTGAATCCACTCTCACTAGCAAGGTCTTTGGATGAAAATACATAAATAATTCATCAATCAAAGATTCATATCTTAGTAGCCACGAGAATGGTATTTCCAAATTTAGATGCTTGATACTAAGTGGTTGAATGTTGCTTCTACGATTGCCGAAATGAAATCTTGCCTCCTTCATAAACAATGAAAAAAATATTATATTCAACATGAATTGTCAGACTTGAAAGAAGATTGAATTGAAAATTTTAATTACTCTGAAATTGTTAGTAAAATACTAAAGATGAACATGAAAATACTAACTAGATATACACAATAACAGCACACGTGATGCAATAATTAACAATATAATAAGGGCAAAATACATTAGTAACCACCTAAACTATGCACCAAATTATATCATATTACACACGTAATCTTTCAAATTATGTCTCGTATACATCATTTTTCTAGACCATTTTTCAGAATAAATGGAATGTCACGCACCAATAACATTGTGAAACATGTTAATAATTTTTTTTAAAGAATAATACACTTAAATTTCTCTTGAATAGTTTGTCTTTCCTCGTCTCTTTCTCTTTCAGAAGAAAACCAGAGGCACCACCATTAAACTCTTTCTGTGAAGATTCACTTTCTTCGTCACCTTAAGCTAAAACTCTTTCACCATTTTTTGGTTTCTAGGTTTTGTTTGTTGTGGAAACACCATTGTAAGTTGTAACCCATGGGTGTTGCTACTGTAACATTGGAAGGAAAATGGAGGTCGTCGTCTTTTGTCATTTTTAAACCAAACGAGACCAGATTTTAATGAAGAACCCCCAACTTGCCGGAAAGATCTGAGAGTTCCATCCAGCCGGAGAAGATCTGAGCTCGTCTGCCATGAACCGACTCTGGAAGTAATGACCTGGCAACAGAGGTCTCGGCTCATTGCCGGCGTTACGAGTTATGACTGAGATCTACTTAAAGGAGATGAAAGGGGGAGGAGATGGGGAGAGGCATGTGAGAGAAAAAAGAATTGTAGTTGTCACCAGATTCCGAGGACGGCAGGGGCACCAATTGGGAGGAAGGACCTGAACATCTTTTTCTTTGTTAAATTAAGAAAAATAAGGGGAAAAAGAAAGATTTAGACACGTGTGTTTATATAAGGATTTGGACAGAAAAAATAGGTTTGACACGCTCATTTCTTTTTGTTAAACACACACGTGTCATCCGGCAAAGTGTGTATCGGACACAATTTTAAAAGATTGCGTGTGTAATATAATATTCTATTTAGTATATAGTTCATATGACTACTTATGTGTTTTGCCTAAAATAAGAGATAAAGTTTAGTATGTGAAAAAATACACTATGGTAGATGTCATCATAATAGATTTCTGTCGCTACTCATGCAAAAAGCCAAGTCAGATCCTACTCACGATATACAATGAATCTTTTAAATTTCTAACAATACTCGTAGAAGTTCCAAAGAACTCTTAAATTTCTCAACTATTTCTACATTAAATAAGAGTGAATAGAACAGAGATTTATGGGAGTGAAACGACACCTAAATAGATATGTCATTCTAAAAGATTGGATACATCTTTTTCCAAGTAATTAGCTATCAATGATCATTTAGCCAGGTACAAACCTTTGATTCCGTTGTGTTAGTTGCCAAGGATAAGGTCATTTTTTCGCCCAAATTTTGAGCAAAAGTTCTCAAGTCAGGCAACATATTGACTGCATAAACATGCTTCAATCCAATTTCAGCTTCCCGGAGAAGAGCTTGGAACTCTTTTTGCATATATTAGCTTGAGTGAACGTAAATTAGGAGTAACAATGATAGCATCTTGCAAGTCAACCATGTGACTTAAGGTCAAATTTTCCAATTCAGGACTCAAAAGTTTGATTTTGTTCAATCTTCTACATAAATGAAGAAACAAGGATTTAAGATGCGGAAAAGCTGAGAAAATCTCTTCAGGAAATCCGACTGGAATATATTCACAATCTATTTCCAGGACTTGTAGTTTAGTACATGCGCGCAAATCAAGTTTTAGTGGTGGTGAATCCGTACTAAACTAGTGAAATTCCTGCAGATTTCGAGCTGCTATTTCTATTGCCCTAATTCTATTGTCACTCACATGAACCTTATTAAGTTCTTTCAGATGAGGCAGTGAGATGGAATTAACACAATATATCAATGTTAACTCAACAATAGAAGGGCACTTGTTGATAAGCGTGGAGAAATTTGCGGATGATAAAGAAACGTGATCAAAATAGATATCTTTCAATGAAGGCAACTCCTCAATATCATCAAAGTTTTTCTCCTCAATAATATTGCATTTTTTTTAAATGCAGAACGGTCAATAATCTTGATTCAAGAATTGCCAAGAAAAATTTGTAGAAATAATAGTTACTTGGTAGACAAATAGAATTCCGTTAAACTGTTGTCTGCCGCAAGTTTGATGATTGGGTGGAGGTCAGAGCAGTGGTGACATGATGAGAGCTTATATTGATTGCACTTTGCACAGTATCTGTCTGTAGAATGTTTCTCCACAAATTTGCCGTCGTCGAATGATGTAATCATGTGACACCACTTTGTGGAAACAAGAGAAGCTATTGTTCTCTGTCTCAGAGTGAGAAAATGAAGGATTTGGTGGAGGATTTCATCTGGTAATTTTGAAAATAATCCATCAGAAGTAATGGAGGCCATGAATTTTGACAAACTCCTGTACGTGAGTTTTCTTTGATTTTGTAGGGTTAGTACTATATAAGGCTCGCGTACTATCACTTTTATTTATTTAAAAAAAACATTAAAAAGTGAATGTCCATTCCTCATATAGTGAAATTTAGCAAACAAAAGTTTTCTAGAAAGAAAAGAAATTCTATGATTTCTTTCCTTAATACTGCTATTTAGACACAAGATGTTTGGAGAACAAGATCTTTCATTTAGACACTTCATCTAAAGTTTGTTTCATTTTAACCATGTATTTACTGTGTCATTTAGACACAATTTTTAGGCATCCATACGTAATAGATGCGTGAAATTCACACGCCAGGGTAACCAATAAGATGNGTTCCAAATCAAACAGAACAAATGCAAAATTTTGCAAAATTCTTAGACTTCACCGGAAAAGTTCGTACTTGGGTTTTTTGAAAATCTGAAAATTAAGGTTCGAAGTTGGTTGGGTGTTCGAGTTTTTGGTTGTAAACGCTGATACGAGGTGAGGTCTGAAGATTTGAGCTTTGAATTGAACTGCTTTTCTAGGGTTTTGGGTTCGAAACTTGAACTGATTGTTCGACGAAGAAGACGAACTTAGGTCTTTTGATTTCGCGGTTGTTTGTTCGAATTGATCACTGGGGCTTGGTATTGATATTGTTTAGAGTTTTCATTTCAAGTTTTAAATCATTTGGTGAAGATTTGAGTGAGATTGGTTCATTTTGGGTATGCTGAAGCACAATGATATTCTTGGCTTTCACTGGAAAAGTTCAAGCTATTTCCATTCATTTCCATTCATTCATTTTGGCTTTCATTTTGAGTCGGAGAAGATGACGGAAAGTGGAGGAGACAATGGTGGAAATGGTGGTGGACATAAAGAAGAAGAAGGAAATAAAAAAAACAAAAAAAATCTATTTTTTGGGCTTTTCACGCGCCCATATTGGGTGAAACTCACTCTATGTGCCAACTCAGCAAGAAGTGTTTAATTGGAACAAAATTCATGTAACGTACGTGCTCAATAGGAATTCTCTTAAGTTCAGGTGTCTAAATGAAAGATCGTGTCAACTTTAAGTGTCTCCGTATGTATTCAGCCTTCTAAGAACTCGGAAAGTAGGACAATATCGGGCTAAAAACAATGAAGGGTTTCCATCGAAAGAGGGTTTGTGAAGCAATCAAACACAACACGGAAAGTAAGTAGTTTTTAAAGGCTTGAAACTTGCAATGCTCAGGGAAGAAAATTAACACACTGCAACCAACAACCAAACCTTGAAGTTTGAAATAAAGAATCACACCATCAAATTCCTTGTAGAAAGTTTTCATTTCAAGCATAGGCATGTAATGTAAAAACACTAAGCATCGTAATAACAAAGTTGAAGAAACCATCCACATTCGCTTTTATAATTTATGTTTTAGACTTCACCCAGTCTTATGGCAATTAGGCAAACTACAACATTAATAGTTTAATACTACTGCATTCTATCTTAAATCAACATCCAAACATTTTACACAAGGATCATGGTTTGATTGAAGAATCGAGACGATAAAAAAGGAAGGTAAATATGGATGCTTATTGATGTTTATAGACAACTTGTGCTTTAGGTGAAGCACGCTGAAAATTTGTTAGCTCAGCAAGTATTGCAGAATCTTCAACTAGACATGGTTGGATTAGCATTCTCACCAGCACCGGAGACTTGGCTAACAGAAGCTTCATAAGCTGCATCTCACGAATTGTGCCATTAGTCCGTATTAGCTTAACTTCCCTGAGGTGATTAAATGACACATCCGAGAATTGTTCTACTTCAAGACATTCTAGAGCAGGTATATCGTTGCCATCACCGGCCTCCACCTAAGAAAGATTAACCAAAACTCAACTCGCTGAGCTTATTGATGATCTAAAAAGTACGAAAATAAGAAAGTCACTACATAAGAAAGAGAAACAAGGAAACCTTAATTTCCACATATTGTAAACATGGGAAGCTTCTTAGCAAGCAAAGAGCACATGAAACCTCTTCCAAGACAAACAGACAAATACTTGATATGCAAAGATGTTTGACAAAGTTAAGATTAAAGGGAAGCCTTGTTGGTACTTCACCTGCTCCTGCAAAAAAGAACTAAAAACAAAATGCCAAAAATCAGAATGCCTCAAAGCCCAAAAGACAATCAACCATTGAAAATGCAGTACAATAAAGTCATGAAGCGACATTTACCGTGTCATTCAGATGGAGATGCTCGAGAGCAATAAGAGGCTCAAAAAACTTGGCAATATTACATTTTTCTTCCACATAATTTTCTTGTGTAAGTAAAAGTTTTGCCAGAAGAGGGATACTTTTAAAGCAAATACATCTTATATTGCCTGTGAAGTCAAATGATCTCAGCATCGGAGCATTAATTTCAATGATGTCACTTAAACCTGAGATCTGCAGCACCAATTGCTCGAGCAACGGGGAATGAGAGATAAAACTTTCAAGCAACTTGGAAGAAATTGAAACGTTGTATAATTTCAGGCTAGTTAACCTATCAAATCCTTTGAAGGTTGGAGGAGGAAGTATTAAACAATTTTTTAGAGTCAGATGCCTTAACTGCAAACATACAAAAAATGAAGAAGGCAATTTGTACGGGTTACCCCTCGGAAGTCTAAGAACAAGATGTTTAATGACATTCCTAGAGAGGAAATACATCAAGTTATCGAGATTAGGACAACCTTCCAAGTTAGGAATGCATAGGGTAAACTTTGTAATTGGTCCTACATGAAGGGTCATAATGTGGTAGATAATCTTTGTGAAGTTACTTGTAATGTATGTTAGATCCTTCTTAGTTTTCCAAAGTGCTTGATCAAGCGTCAACTGTGGAAGTCTACACCAGTTATATCTCCATTTCTTCGACAAGATGCTTGTCCTCACAGCATCTCGTAAAGGCAAACGGATAAGAATTTCATCAACTACATTCTCAGGAAGATTGTTAAGTACATCAGGGGGTAAAGTTCTAACACAATGCTTTTTGCCCTTTGGAGCCATCGTAGATAAAAATTCGCCAATAAGAACCTGTAGAAATCAAACACAAATACAAAGATGAGAAAGATCTCCAAACTGCTGCAACACTTCATTAATACAGAGGAATATTCAGATCTATTATACAAAAGGAAAATAGAACGAGAACCCAATTAGCATTTGCTTCTATTACGCTTATCAACGGACATCTATAGCTAAACAAAAGTTCAAATTAGTAGCCTAAATAAGCTTAATAGATTTTTTTTCACAATTTGCATAACCCTAAGCTTGCCTGACAATTATAAACACAACGGAAACTAGTTGAAGCGACTAATCATTCTCCTTTCAAACAAATCAAAAATGCTTCTGTCAACCAAATTAAGATCAAAATCAAGCTTCTAAGCTGTCTTTTTCCTTTTCTTTTTTATAAAAGTAAAATTCTGTTTTCAATCCCATTACAAAAAAGAAACATCAGTTGCTGCACCTTGGACACACCACCTTCTTACCCCGAAAGTGTTCTTTTTCGGGAGAGGTGCACAAACCGCCATTCTTAGGGCTGCTATTTAGGGCCAGTACTATTTTAGTCCTGAATTTTAAACTAAAAATCTTAATTTCAAGACAATTCAAGACATAAAAATTAAACTGAACAACTAAAATCAGGACGCACAGGCTAATTCCTAAGTAACATCCCTTTAGAGTGACTATCTGGTGTCATTTCTACTTCTTTTTCACTTAAAGAATTCATGCACATACCCAAGAAAATCAACATCTAAAAAAGAGTACGAAAAAAAGAAGATAGAGCCTTTGTTTCATAAACTAACACCACCCAAATGGGAAAGAAATGATTATTGAAAAAAAGAAAAAAAGAATAGCAGAAGCAGAATTTTAAGCTTACCTAGAACTAAGATTACTGAAATTGGAAATCCAAAATCAAGTCTTCAGCTGTTGACGAAGCACTTTGTACTTTTCAAGTCTTAAGTACTTTTGCCGTTTTGGCTTTTAACTCTTTGGATTGATCGGCAAAGAGAGAGAGAGAGAGAGAGGAACTGGAATAATAGATTGTAGAGAAAGAAGTTTTCTTAAATTAGAGGAAAATGAAAGGGCAGAGGACGCTATAATTAATAAAATAGCCATTTTTAATCCTATAATTAATAAAATAGCCATAATCTTATAATTTCAAATTCTATAAGTGAAACTTGGAATAATATCACAGAGTTTTTGTGCAATTTAAAACTCCATGACAATGGCTTTTTTTAAATACACGTTCGAAAAGGGATAAGTATGCCCTATTTCTGTGCAAACAAACAGTGATTAGATCTTTTAAATTAGAGATATTTGGTGGATGAATGACTTCTTGATAAGAAAAATCCTAGTTAAAGAATATACCTCTGCCTAAAACACGGAAAATTATAAGTGAAACGTCTGCATAACTTCTGATCCTATATGTAAAACTCCCATAGAATATACTATAATTCAAAAATTATATCTTAATTGTGTGATGTCACAAAACATGATGTGAAATAAATTTATGCTAAAGTTTGTATTCATCGCTAAAAACTAAAAAGGAGAAAAAGATACTAGATTTTATGCTCAGAGTCCCTCAATGTTGTCTTTTGAGTTCTCTCGGATAGATAAGGGCTTCACTGTAGTTTTACTAAACTAAATACGAGGCAACTGCAACGTATTCACTTTATAAAGTTATACTCCATCCGTCTTAAAAAAGATGGTACTTTTCAATAACAATTAAATTTGATTTTGTGGTTAAAAAAATAGGAGATCTATTTTTATGCTAGTTGTTAGGCAATGGATACTAAATAAAAGATTAGAAGGCAAGATTACAGCTTAGAGGCGATATGTAGTCAAACCAAACGGCTGGAGATCGGGGCCTCGAGCTGTCGTATATGAGGCCTCGAGGTCGAGTTGGGTGGCCGGCTTAGAGCGATCGAGGGAGGACTAGCAGTTATGAGAGCTAAAATGATGGCTCTCTATGATCAATGATAAGCAATAAATGAAGAGCAATAAAAAGAACACAATGGATATAAGCAATAAATGGAAGTAATTAAATCAAGAGAATATGTTACAGAGTAGAGAGAATGTTCTTGTATATTCAATATTGAGCATCAGATGACTACAAAATGACAAGGATCCCCTTTATATATGAGGGGGAATCCCAACATAGTACAAATATATTTATTACAAAGATATGGGGATTGTACAGCCATTTAATGCCCTAATTCGGGTCTGAGCTGGCTCACTAGACTTTGTTAGCTCTAGTTACGCGCCTTGGGAACTCCCCACTTTTTCACCACAACCGTTGGTCTGTACTGCCCCGAGGTCGAGCGTCGATAGCCCTCAAGGGGTGAATCTCGACCAAAGTCTCAAACCTTAGAAATGTGCTTATGAGGCATCGTAACGACGGAAAATTGGACCCTCTGATTTTACCGCATACAGATAGTCCCCGAGTTTCTTAGAGTGAAAGTGATAAGAAATGGCTCTGACACCGATCTCCTCGAACCACTTGTGATGATGTCGCGCATATGACATGAGCTTTTGTGATAACTGAGGCGTCCCGTCGGTTCATCTTTCCAAAATCATTCAATGCGCTGCCGATTCTTATTCTCCGAAGTGATAATATCACCGTCGGTCCAGCTCCCAAAAACACATTGCTTGCGCATGCCGATACGTCTTTCGAAGACATTGATGGCATCATCGGTTGCGCTGCCACCCTTTCTATAAATGGAGGCCTTCTTGAACAAACTTTTCATTCAAATATTTTTTAACAGCCTTTCACCCCTTCTTTCTCTTCATCCTCATCCATTGGTATTTCCCATGCTTGAGGCCTGTGGCCTTAAGGTTACATGGTGGCGTTCTCATCAGTCACGCCATGGCCTTTTTCCAAGGCTTTCCCTTACTAAGCGAGATTATACTAATTTGTTGTTGTTGTTGTTGTTTACCCGAGGTGATGAGAGAGAAATCTCAAATTATCCCCGCATTAGAGGATGTGCGGATTATGAACTTCTACTCAACTCTCCTGACTACCCGGTGCAGTGCCTCACTCCTTTTGCTTTCTGTGGAGTGAGGTGGTACTATCCACTAACTGTTGTATTTCGCACTGGTGTAACATCTCAAGAAGTGGCTTCATAATAGTAGTGCTCGCGAGATCCGTACTCGCCAGATTTTTCACTCAGCCACTTTTTCATCCCTCTTTGCTCCTTCATCTTTTTCTTTTTCTTCATCGTCACTTTTCTCTTTTTCATATTCCCCCTTGAAGATGCCATTTTGGAGGATCGAGATGAGGCCCCCGAGGAGATGGTGCTCGAAGATACTGCCACTAAGGATGCACCCCCGAGAATAGATTAGACTCTTGGCTTTTATCATATATGTATTTTTTTTTTTGCTTCTTTGTTTCCGTGTAAGGACCCCTCCAGGGCTTTTGTAATCATGGTTTATTAATACAAGGATATTTCCTCAATTTGTCTCTAGATTTATGTTGAATTCCCTCTTTATTTGTGTTTGTGAAAATTCTAAATACATGACTCTACCGATTGATACGAATATCGAGCTCAAGTGTAAGCATTTCTTCTAGCTCTTGATTGATTAACACGATTCCCCGTAGAACCCTTTGTCGTTCCTTGGACCGAGCCCGAATTGGATTGATAAACTCGGGTCATCGGGACCCCCGACCTCAAGTTGAATGAGAGTAGGGCTTCGAACATTCAGAACGAGACTTAGCCTTTTAGACCCCGCGATAGTCCTCGACGGGGGGATTTGCTTGGATGACTGAGAATAAAGATAGCCTTTAGGCTTTTGAAAGCAGTCCCCTAGTGGGGGTTCACTCAAGCTCGGGCGACCTGGAGACTTGTTTTGAACTCAGTGTAGATAGCCTTAAGGCGTTGCAAATATATCCCGGATGAGGGCTTACCCGAGTTTAGATAGTACCTGGGTTAAAGTAATCAATGGGACGGTTATAACTCGACTCGAGGAATCAGGTAACTCGAGGGCCGGAAGGTCAGATAAATGGCTCGTACTTACAATAGCAAGAATTCTCGAGATAGGGTACCACCTTGAGGCCAAGCCCATATGAGTAGGTTTTTAGAGCTTATCTTCTTTTTGAGAGAGATCCTCGATACCGGGTACCATCTCGAGTCTTGTAATGATATTAATGGCTCCTTAAAGCCTATCTTTTTCTTAATAGAGGACCTTAAGATCGGGTACCATCTCGGGACTTGTAGTGATGTCATAGGCTTCCTGGATCCTATCTTCTTTTTGGTGGAGGTCCTCGAGATCGGGTACCATCTCGGGACTTGTAGTGATGTCATTGGCTTCTTGGAGCCTATCTTCTTCTTGGTGGAGGTCCTCGAGATCCGGTACAATCTCAAGGCTTGGTTGATGCGGGGGTCTCTGACCCCAAAACGTCGTATGGCGGCGTCAAGTGCATAACATGGTTATGAAATGACCGAGGCGATCCCGCCGGCAAATCTTCCCAAAGCGATAAAAGCTTTAGCTAGTATTTTTAATTGGCCTTTGAGGCAGGCAGACAGTCGCCGCTTTTTCCATATATAGGGTTGTCTTCACCCTTTTGAAAATTTCCCTATTCTGAGTAGTTATCCTCTTTTATATAGTTCTCATTTCCTGCGTTAGGTCCTCCATTATTTCAATTTTGATGCCCTTGTTCAAATTCCCGCTCCAATTCTCTAGTTTTACTACAGTCATGGCTACTACGTCAGGGTCCACTCGACAAGGAGAAGGGAGTTCCGACTCTGGGCATTTTGTTTCGAGGGGGGATGTTTTGTCAGAAAAGACTCCCAAATTTCGAGGTCATTGGGAGTATGTTTCGAAGTTTATTTCTTTAATAGGAGAGAGGCACCTTGAGTCGATGAGGAAGGACTGTGGATTGGGGGAAAATGTAGTATTGCGGGTACCTTCCCTGGAGGAGAGCATCATGGACCATGCCGAGGATTTTTTGAACGTGTATACGTACCCCTTTACGCTGGGCCCCCTTGATAGGGTTGTGCTTGACTTCTGTCGAAAGTACCAAGTTTCCTTGGCGCAGATTCACCCGTCATTTTGGCGGATAGTATTAATGATGGGGTTCTTTGCAGAAGAAGCAGGTCTTGAATTCACTCTTAGTCATCTCATCAGGCTGTATTGGCCCTTTCACCATCGAGGTATGCTAACCCTGCGATGTCAATCCACCACGCCTTTCGTCGTTGACGACAAAGAAGATGGAGATCGGGGGATGGATGAGTCGATTCGTCCGCGTACAAACTATCGATATTGTCCCTGTGGAGTTTTTGTCATTTCCTGAGAAATGGAATTTTACACGTAAGTGGTACACTCGTGCCTTCGTAGTTTTGCTTATGGCGAAGGCGGGCTCCGTAAATGCGCCTTCCTTTCCCTTTCTGTAACAATTTCATGGATACCGTGTGAGGTCCCCGACCTGTCGGATTGGGCTCAAAGGTTGGCGACCCACACGACTTATAATGAGCGTAAGTGGCGATCTTTGTCTAAGGATAGGTGGGAGGAAAAACACCACGCTACGTGCTATGTGATTTGCTCCCCCCTTTTTTCTTGGAAGAGCATTTTTTCTTTCTACGTACTAACTCTGCCACCATAGGCATTGGGGAGTCTTTTGAAGCGAGATCACGCCCTCTAGGAGAGGGAGGAGGATCGCCGGCTTTAGGACCGAGGGATAATAATAATAACAACAATAAGCAGAAAAGGCCTTTGCAGGACGACAGTGATTGTAGCGAGACGAGTTCGGCCCGGAGGCTCAGAGAGGGCGTATCAGTCGAACCTGCAGCACCCGAGATATCTGGATTTGAAAAAACGGTCCCTCATCTGCTGCCATCTTCCTTTACCATCGAAAGTACTTCGAGGAACGAGGGATCCTTGTCGTCATCTTCTTCTCCCATAGAAGGTACTTCGAGGGGCATTCGAAGCCAGGGGCCACATGTGTCGGATGACCATATACCAACCGGGAGTAGTTCTGTTGAGGTTGACAAAGCCGGGCTGGCAAATGTGCATTCGACTTTCGAGGGAGCTCCGCGGCTCTACTCTGTGTTGAG